TGCTGAAGTTTTACTTCAGTTGTACGTTTGAGAGAGAAAAATCCAGAGCTATGTGAAAGAGAAGATTATCACAGTTCTCTTGGCAAGCACTTTGACTTTGGGAAAGGTTCACAAAGGAAATGCTGTTCTCAGGTGACTGAGGATTCCCATTTCAAAATTAGTGCATCTAATGAAGGCACCAGATGTCAACCAGCAGAAGTCCTGGTAAATTCTAAATTAAAACATTAAGTGATAAGTGTGTTGGCATTAAAAATTACCCAACAGTAGGTCCTTCAAGCAAACAATGAAGTATATTTGTTTAAACAGTGTTGTAATGTATTTCATTATGTGTATTTCATGTATTTCATTACATATGCATGTATTTCAAAGTGAAAGCAGAAATTGAGGGGTTTTTTTCTTTAGACGTTTTTAGAGCTCTAAGCAGTCCCTAAAGATTCTCTCTACAGAAGTATTTCTCTACAGAACCTATAGATACAGCAAGACCAGAGAAAAACCAACAGCAGTAGTACCAACCATTCTGTTTTATTGCCTTCACTGAGCACACCTATGTCTAGTTAAAACCTTTTGTAGGTTTTTGCTTGACACTTTAGATAATGGAGGTTTTACGAGCCTTCTTTTCTAGTGTGAGCACCTAACTTGCACAGCCGAGTTACCACATTAGCTTGGAAAAGTTTCATTTGCCTAAGGTGTTCATCTCCCTGGGGACTGCATTCCCCATGTTCATATGTTCATTGTCACAGAAAATGTCTTTATTTTTCAAGGGAACATTTTTCTGCTATTTATTAATAGGGTTGTACTTAAATCCATTTATTTTGTGTATTATTATTCTTGTTGCACAGGAAAGCTTCTGCGGGACTTCTGTCATTGTGCCAGAGCTTGAAGGGGCCCTTTATTTAAAAGAAGATGGAAAAAAGTCCTGGAAGAGGCGTTATTTTCTTCTACGAGCTTCTGGAATTTATTATGTACCCAAAGGAAAAACCAAGGTCAGGAAGCCAAATAATCCTTTTAGCAATAAAACAATTCATGGAGGTGAAAGTGAAGAACTCCCAAGGTGACATTTTAGGAGCACTGTCTGATGCATCTGAGAGGGTTGGGGGTTTTTTGGTTTAACTTTGACTACTCCACTTGTGCAAATATTAGAATATAGTCACTGAATCCTGTCACGTTTCTCTCCTTTTGATTTCTGTAGATAGATAAAAGCATTAATGAAATAGCACTCTTCCGGAAGTCAGTAGGGGAAAGAAAAACAGCACAGCACCCTTCAGCTGGTGTTATGCTGCCAAAATGCTTCACTGTTATATGGGTTCCCTGTGGAAGAATATTTTAAAAGTTTACTTGAAAACTCATTTCTTATCACAAAAAAGGTGGACTTTTACTTTGTTTGACACTGACTTTCTGCACCAGTAACCAGCATGCAGAAATGCTATACAGTGATCTTTACCTAGAGAATGCGTTGTGCCTTTTAAGGCTTTTTAAGACTGCCCTTTGTGTAGAAAGAAGTGAGACAGAGGCATCCACCTGACCAAATCGAATCCACTGACAGTATTGCAAAATATTTAAAGAGTCTGAATTGCCAGCACTGGAGAAGTAAAGGGGTCCTGGTCATGTTGCATGGAAGGGTGTCTGGCTTCTCATTTCCACAGTGATGAGGTAGAATGATGGCTTCTGGGACTGGTGGTTTTTTGGTTGTTTGTTTTTGTTTTGTATTCTGAAAACCATTTCCCTTACCACTTACAGCTCTGCTAATGCTTCATATTTGAAAATTCTGGTGCTGCTGCTGGAACTTTACTGTTACGATTTGTGCTGTGAAACTTAACTGTTCTGCTGTTCCCTGACTAAATTACAAAGGAAAAAAAATAAAATTGATGGCTTGTAAAGGAATGCTGTGCTGCTGCTCCAGTGACCTGTGTTTATAACCAAATCTCAGTGAAACACAGACCTAGATTACCTTGCTGCTTTCACAGCAATTTACTTTGACTTTACCTGACCCTGAGATAACGGCTTTCAGTCTTCAAATGATGTCGCACACACACAAAACATCCTATCAATTAGGAACTAGAATGCTATTTGGAAGGCACTTAAGGCGGAAAGAATATAAGTATAATCAAATGAAAAGTCCATCTTTGACATTTCCTTGTAGCCTGCCTTCAATGATGGCCAGTAGCACACAGTGCCAAAGCAGGGCAAGCATATGCTGATAGTTACCCAGCCTTTTTTCATCATCCAGTGATACCTATTTCAGTGACTTTCCATCATAGTGCAAAAGAGGAAAGTGCTTTCTTTTTTCAGGTGATAGACTGCAAACATAGGCTCAGGATGGAGCCACGCAGTCACCTTGTAACAGCTGTTTTAGTTTAACACTTTATTGCCTGTTAGTCGTTACAGCCTGTGTACCACCCTGCCTGTAACTAAGCCATTTTAAGCAACTGTGTGAGTGCTTCAAACTCACTATACCAACTCAGCTACTCACAGGGATTGAGGACCTTAAATCTAGTTCTTTAGGAGATAGTCACAGCTCTTTAAAATGGTACCACAATCAACTGTTTGCTCCTGCTTCTGTAACAGCCTTCAGCAAAAGAATGTATATATCCATACCTCAGCCATTCCGGAGAAGGCCAAGTCTCTTGGCTCAAATCTGTGTTTAATGGTGATTTAAGTTAGTTAGTGGACTCTGTATTGGAACAGCTGAGGCCTAGGTACACATGTCTTTTGTGGCGACCGTAATCTCTGGTAGATGAGCAGGGTGCAGTGAGGGTGCTAAACATCTTAAAGCACTGCAGTTGAATTCAGTAGAGTGCTTCAGTTTGAAGCCCTTAAATTATGAGAGTTCATCCCATGTCAGGGTGGGTGGTATGAAGAGTGCACATGCTTTTTGCTGTAGTCATTCAGTTGTGGGTAGAGTGATCTTTCATTGAGGTACAGAAACAAACAGTTGGCAGGCACTAATATCTTCAGCTGCTGCAGCTGTTTTGAAATTCATCATGTAATCATGTTTTTCACTTTTTATAAAAAAGCAAAGAAGTCTGGCATACCTTTGGCACTTCATGTTGGCTGTAAAATACATTGCAAACGTGAAAATACAGGGATATGTTCAGATAATTTTACACACGTGCCTTTGGTGTGTTTTGTTGTTTGGGTTTTTTTTTGTTAACAAACCAGGCACCAGTCAGTACTGCTGTCTTAACTTCTTTCTTCAGCATTATTCTACTTCTGTCCCATTCAAAAACATACTGTTAATGTACGGGGTCACAAAGCAACAGAATCAGAATTGCGGATACAATTTTAATATTTGTTTCTGTTAATTGCATTGCTTTGTCATGTTAACATTGCAGAAATACTAGCAGTAAGTGCCTTTGTCCCTTGCATAAAAATTTGTTCCTTATTTAGAAGAAAATAACAACTGCATTCATATTGGTCTTAATTGCCATTACCTGGTTCATAAAGGAAAGGAACAATTCGTTATACTGCATGGATTTGAGCACGTTTAGGAACTTACAGTGTTGGAAAATCCTAGGTCCACACAGTCAATGACAAAATCCCTGACATATGCTTGAGGAGAGACAGGAGAGAGAGAGGGAGGGAGAGAAAGAGAAGCCCTGTCTACATACAATATGGAGTGTTTCCTCTCCCCACAAATCTTACTTGCAAACTGAATTTGTAAATAAACCCAACTCAAGGGCATATTGTAATGAAAGTATCAGTAAGAATGAGAACAGCATGGAAGAACCATCATATGCAGAAATATAACCCCGTTCTTAGGGGTAGAGGCAGTTTGTGGTTCGTTATTTTCTTTTTTTGTTTTTTCTTTTTTTCACAATTTCCTCATTTCTCAGTTTAGCCAATGATGACCATGTGCCACAGCCATATTTGCATTTCCACTCACAGGATTGCAAAAGTTACACTTTGTATGCAGAGTTCTGCACTGAGAAATGTGCGAGCAACAGAAACCTTGTTACTTTACCAATGTATTGTGAACAAGCAAATATTATGATAAACAGAAAAGGAATGATGCCAGGCAATTTGAGAAAATTCAAAGCAAAACAGATGAAATGTGTGCTTATTTCCTGATGAGAGTTTGTTTGTTACATATACCAAAGAAAAACAAGCTCCCAAAGCAGTTTAGAACCCCAAACCTTCTTCCTCCTCTCAGAATTGTAAGGGTGTGGTTGCAAGACCTATATCTATTTTACTAAAGTTATTTCTTACTGTGGTGTTCTATTTGGTCTTATTAGCCATAAGCCAAAATCTCCACACAAAGCAATAAAGCATAACAAAACCAGAACAACAGCAAAATGTTGCACTGTGTTATGTATTATTCCTCATATGTACTGACCCTCTTCCAATTGTTAGGTTAAGAATGCACACATTTAAAATTCATCTTTCTTCAGTCAGCTTCATGACAGTTAAAAAAATAAAAAGCATTGACATTGATACACTTGAAACAAGTCCTATTAATGAGTTTCACATCAAAATTGAATTTGTTCTAACAATGATGTGCTTGGTTTTCATTTGTAGACATCGCGGGATCTGGCATGCTTCATTCAATTTGAGAATATGAATGTTTATTATGGTTCTCAACACAAAGTGAAATATAAGGCACCTACAGATCACTGCTTTGTCTTAAAGGTAATGTACAAGAAAAACAAGTTCTGCAAATGTCATACTCAGTTTCTTTTATACGTAAACATGTTTAAGTTTGAAGCTCCAGGGACCCTGATGAGATAGAATAGCTCCTGCAAAATCATGTCTGTTTTCTTCTTTGCTTCGTTGTTGATCATCAACATACCTTTAGAACCTTAATTTTAAGGACTGGTAGCTGGTAGTCCTATGATACATATCTACACTGCATCTATAAAGTTGTCTTCAAAACAAGGCTGAATATGCTTCCAGTGACTGACTGTTGAGGTGGCTGGACACATCTGGACAAATGGCACACAAGGCAGGTGTATGATGAGAAGACTGGCAGTCCCTAATGTTGACATTATGAACACTGTGGACTCTATACTAAAAAGCGTGTCTACTTTTTATTTGCAGTGTAGTCATACCTGTTGAGTGGTTTGTTGAACTGAGATGCAAAGTCTTGCAGGAATAGACATCTCAGATGACATATTTTATTGCACAACTATTTGTGGTAGGAGGGCAAAAGACGTTGTTCACCCACTCATGAAAATCAATCCTTGCTGTTGAAGTATCTCATTGCTGCCTCTCCAGGTACTACCACTGCCAATAGGCTGGGAATTCTGCATTCCTCTCAGGAAAGGAAGAGAAGCCCATGCTTTTCACATAGTTCAAATAGCAGAAATGGAGCTCTGAGGTTGCAGCAATAAGGCCTTGCTTGCTATCTGTCATTAATACAGATTTTAGAATACAGTGTGATTACTGTGGACAAGACAGGAGATAATCTTGTTGCTGCTTCGGTATTAAAGGCCTGCAGTGCAAACAAGGTATTAGAAAACACAGTATCTTGCCATCTCAGAAAAAAAGTATGGGAAATATTCACATCAGACATCACTTACAGTACCGCATTTCTGGCTGTAGCTGCACACTTACAGCACTTTTTTATTCAGTTTCAAAATGTCTGCTAGCCTAATTTACACATGGCCAAGCAGAAGTGGCTTATAGACCCAGACTTGTTTTCTGAAGCAGATGTATCTAATTAACACAGATGAGCAGTTTTAATACTATAGTTCTCCACAAAATGCTCTGCAAAAAACACTTTATCCTTTTTTGTAAAACAGTGGTGAGCCTTCTGAAGTTAACAGGTAAGCATTATTTCTGAAAAATACAACTTCTAATGAAAAAAAAGGAAAAGGGGAGCTGATTTAAAAAACAAAGGGAAATTGATTTTCTAAACAGATGACTGGTCAAAAAAGTATCTGACTAATTTAATAAGTTATTCACATTCCATTCAGATGGAACTAAAAGCATGGTTTCTGAAGTGTATGTAGCAATGTGTTTAACTGTTCACAATGATTAGGAAAATTTTCTGGACTTACTGTCATCTTTTGTGGAAAGAGGTATGCTATAAATAAGAACTTACACAAAAACAAGTCACAACTCAACTAAAATACTTGCTTTATTGGATGTGTGATGTTAGCACTGTACCCTCAACGTGAAATGTGAAGAACAACATCAAAAGCTCACTAGGGAAAGCTTTATGTGTAATAGGCCTATAAATGTAAGAAAGCTACTCAGCAAAACCGTTTGCTCTGATGATTCTAAAATGTGTTTGCAGTATACTAAAATAAACATCATATTGGTAAGATAATTATACCCGAGCAACACTACTTAGTGATGAATAGATTTTGTTACAGTGATTGTTCTTCATTTTAATTCCCACAAATCAGCATTTGGTAGGTTCCTGACAGGCTCGGTTTCAGACTTGGCTTCTTTTAAAAGTTGTCTCTTGCAGTGGCTGGAGTTGGTCAGGAAGTATGGGCAAGTATTGCTATCTTCAAATCTTCTGTTGTTTCAAAGGTGGAAGACTCCCACTTAGGGTGGCTTTCTGAGGGTGATGCAATGGAGAGTTTCATGTTTATTATAATTTCTCTACATTAATTTCAATTCTGTATATAACTTTTTGAAGGCATGGAGCTGAGATGAGTTCCGTTGTATTCTCTCTTACCTTTGGAGGTTGGAGCTGAGGATGTAATACATCTTGAGATCAGTGGGCTGAGGGAAAGAACGAAGTTAAATGTTGGCCTCTCTGATTGGATGCTTGGTGACACAAAAGTGTGTGGACAGGACCAGAGAGAATTTTTTTACACTTAGTCACATTTTGTTCCTGTCTGGTTTCATATGGAAGTCTCTCTTGCTGGGAGACACTTCACCTGAGATGTCAAAGGAAAACAAACCATCATCCTTGAGCTATTTCTCATCCTGCCATATTTTGAGAATAAAGTCCTCAAGATGAAATGACAGTACTTTTGGAGGCAGGTGCAGTGAGCAAAAGGCAATAGATTTAACAGGTAAACATTTGTCTTTATTATACTCATAACCTAGTAATTTTGAAAGAATTTGGATGCCCAGCTCAGTCCAAGCCAGATGGAAATTTCTCCACAGCCAAGGCTGCACTGCTGTGTCTTCACAGCTCTTCCATTCCCCTCTGTGTGTCTCAGGACAGTAAGCTCTGCAGAGGTTCTCTTCCAGCTACTTGCTTGTGTTGGCTGCAGGAGAAGATTATCTGTCTTTAAAGCAAATGGGGGAAAGTAATTGGAAGAGTAGCAGCCATGCCCATGCTAGCTCCTCACTGAGGGTGGCTGTAAATCAAAGGGATCTTCATGTTTTGGAAAATAGGTTAGTCGGCAGCCCTTATTAGCTCCAGCAAGCTGTAACGCCACTTGGAAAGTTTTTGAATAATAGCATATCACTACATTTTTTTAAAGAATTGTTGCTTTCTGAGGAACCCCTTAGGAACCGCTGTCCCAAAACAGAGAGCAGTCATCAGCCAAGTTACTTGCTCTGCTGTGTTTCGAACTTACCAAAAAAAACCTGCCCAGCTCAGAGGGAAGAGACCAGCTTGTACTTTATAGTGCAGGAGAAATGCAAGGACTTAGCAGCTTCAGCAGTATCTTGCATTTGTACTAGGTGGAAAAACCTGCTGAATTCAGAACCAGACATAATTTCCCAGCTTTGAGAATTGAGTTGCATTTATTTCTGACTGGTTAAGCTAATTGGCATCCTTATTTCAAGAATAGGGGAAATGCCCTTTGTTCATTCAAGAGGCAGCAAATGGCCAGTGAGGTGGGCTGATTTGGAGTTGAATATGGCCTCATGCTTGAAGGAAGCATACCTTCTTTTTCTCCCATCCCCATTTGAATGGTGAGCCTTCTAAACAAATAACTAGGCTAAAACCAGTAACATTTGTACCTGCCTTCAAAGGTCCTGTCTCATATTAGCAGAGAGGAAAGATACAACATCTCTTTTTACCTCCCCCCAACCTTGGTCATCTTTATGGTGTGTTTTTATGGAGGGAGGAGCCCTCGAGAGATTGTAAGAACGAGCAGAGCATTACTGCTGTTTTTGCATCTATGTGCCAGGCATCACCAAGAACTTACAGGAAAGAGGAACCCTATAACTAATGTTAATCACAACCCTGGTGACTTGGTTTTAGCTAGAACAATGAGATTTCTTGGGTTGTCTGACACTGCCCTGAACTATATGGGCTTTTGTCTCAAAGTCTTCATGACATTTCTTTGGATGTTGCTTCACCTTGATCTCTCTGAATGAGATGCGGACTTTTTCTCCAGTTTCTTCTCTTACGCTACAGTCAAGTGAGGGGCTCACAGAGACAGTGAGCCTTTGGTCCTAGTGCCTGTCCTAGCTAACATGCTTCCAGTCACCAGGAGCCGGCAGCTCCCTCTGTCCTGTTTCTTTTTTAATCTAGCTGTTTAATGTCAACTTCAGTGGTCATACCTGGCTTACTTAGCTGATGCTGGCTTGGGTACTGGTGTTAGTGCAGCAACAAGAAGATCATGCACATTGTAGGCAGATTGCTTTGATACTTAGCCAGAAGCTGGGGTAGGTTTTGCAGCCTGTGATGTTGGAGCTGCACCTAGACTAGCTGTTTTAAACTAGCTCAAATGTAAATGTTCTCGGCTGCAGATCCATTCTGTAGGATGTTCCTCTTAGAGCTAGAGAAGCATGATGTGTTGTGAGTGCTCCTTGCCTACCATTTCTTCCCATTACATCAGCACCCCATTGTATAGCCTGTACCTCAGATGAAAAATGGGGAGTTTTTTGCTTTATTTGTTAACCATCAAGACACTGAGGCGATAATGGGGAAGAGGATGGTGTGCCAGAAACAGTTCAAAAGCACATCACAGCAAAAGAGAGAGCACTTCGCTGAGCTTACACAGGAGTTTTCTTTCAGGATGATTCAGGAGACAACTGCAGTAAGTGAACAAAAGAGCTGCTTCCTCATATTAGCTCCTCTCAGGCAGCAGAAAGCCCAGCTGGGACCAACCAAAAACCATAGCTGGCGGGTTGGTGTCGGAGAGCGGGATCACCTTTAGCTGTCCCTGTGCAGGAAACCAGAACCGATGTGGCTGGGTCCTGCAGATGAGAGTGCAGCCTGACACAGGGGCTCTGATGCAGCTGGCTTTCAGGAATCTTTAGGCTTTGGGGCAGCTATAAATCTTGAAGAACTGTTTTATTTCTCAGTAGCTACTTGGTCTGTGCTGAGCTATAACCTTAAATTGAATTGTTCTATACCACTGCTAAACAAGCCTTCCTCCCTCAAAGGAAGGCCCACATTTAAAAAAACAAAAAAACAATGCAAAGAACCCTCAACATATTGAAAATATTGCCTCTGAATAAGATAAATACTTCTGGAGCATCTGCTCTTGTAAACATGCAGATTCTTCCTATTTTCTACTCAGCCTAAATGTAATGCTTACAAAAACTTAAAGATGTCACCTTTCACTTTGACATCGGATAAAGTAAATCTTTTCTTAATAGAGACCTCCATATGCAGAAAAGAGGAAAGGAAAGGGCAGCCAAGTGTGAAAGAAGACTCTCACTCAAACTTGCATATGTCAAGGTCAGATCTGCCCTTCTGTTCCAGGCAGAGGAGGCGGGAGAGGGTAGCAGCATGGCTCTCCCTGCCACCCTGTGAAGAGTGATGGCCACTCCTGGGAGAGGAACAGCAAGGGAACAAAAATCTCTTTCACAGAAAAAGT